CCTGTCTCGCAATATTCTGTTCAGCTTTTGGAATGTGTCCATGGCCATTCCATTACGTCTACAGATCCCAGCGTCGAACTTACCGTCATCTGTCATGACGCTTCCCAGATATTCAAACTTCTGCGTCTGCTTAAATCTAGTATTCCCGATCGCATTTCAGCCTCTTTGTCTACTGATGATCATGCATTAATTTCTACTACTAATACTAATAATAATGTTCATATTTTTCAGTAATTAAATATAATGATATATTGTGTGGAAGAGATAATTAGCAGTATAACGAAAATATAAACACTTGATATTATTCTTCTGTTACGAGTCAGGAATCTTCAGGAAGTGTGGATGATGACTCCCCAAATCTTCTTGTCCATTTATTACTCAAAGTAATTTTTGACTTTACCATCACACTTTGCTGCCGATCTGCCATCGCTTGAGGCAAAAGTATTACCTGGGTCGATCGCTATTTGCTGCTGCTCCTCATATTAACTGTGAGTTCAGTTAGGGACCAGAACCTGCTACGAATAGTTAGAATCAATGAATACTTGTAACCCACCCCCCAAATAAAAGTTCTTATAAGTGCCTATTTTGATTGTTAATACCGCGTATGCCTTAAACTTTCATTCTAAACACTTTAGAATCATTTCAGACACTTTTAAAAACATTTTAAAAAATAGTATTCGTGACCATACACTTAGCGTAAATTTTCTCTCATACATACATTAACCGTTTTTAATTGCGCATAGATCGATACAACCATTAAAAATACTGTATAAAATATGTGTAACAAGACAAAATATAAAGTTTAAAACATTTTCTGAAAACAGGACTTAGATGATGCCCCCAGACTTGGCGTAAGCCACGTTTAAATCCCCAGCCGCAGTCCTAACAAAGAACAAAGCCTATGCACCACTCATGGTTTTGTATTTGTTTGTTACAATGAAGATGTACAATTCTGCTAATTTTTACCATGAAAATGGACTGTTATATGTATTAAGTCACTTAAATAACAGGTAAATAATATAAGGATATTTTAAATATGTTCTATCGAAAAAACACGCGAATATTCGGAGTACACAGAAAAAAATGAAAAATCCGCCAATGTGTGAAGCCGCGAATGTGTGAAGCCGCGACTGCTAAAACGCGAATAGACGGGGGATTAATGTATTACTCTTTCTAAGTCTTCTTTCTTCATAATGAGCATCAATTTTTTAACTTATTCTCTCTTATTTTAGTAGTATTATTTTTCTTATTTTCTTTCCACAACTTTGGATGTCTCTTTTGCTGAAAACCTTATTTCCTATCTTGTTATAATTACAGGTTAATCTTATTTTTCCTATATCACATTGAAACACGTACAATGTTAAGCAACATTGAGCCAGGCCAGTACCTATATTGTTGACAGCTTACGAATATAAGGTACTATAATCGTGCATGTGCGGGTGATGTAATGGATAATGTCCCGGACGTTTTAATCAGAGAGCCGCGTTCTAATTCCTGTTGGATTCGCTATATTCACTTCCGCGCAAAATCCCCTTGGGAAAGGTATGCATCCAACTTTTCTCCTCACAGCCGTGGATTAAATAGTAAGATCTGCACCACTAAATCATTAATATCCTAAAAAAAAACAAAAAACAAAAACACTAATAAGCAAAATCTTTTTTCTGGCTTTAAATAACCTGCAAGATTTTGATAAAACTAATCAATGAATTAATGTATATTTCTTTTCATCGCTTTTTTTTTTCTTTGCTCAGAGATCTAACTGTATTTTATCTGAGTCTCCCATTAACATAGATTTATATACGTATATTATTTCCTTAAGATCATTTGCTCTGATAATTTATATCTTGGTAATTGTAGTTCTCTTAAGATCGTATCGCTGTATAAATAAATTCGATGAACGACACATACTTGATCTCATTATTTTCCTGTTTTTGTATACAAAGGATTTGTGAGTTATGTTTACATAGCCATTATTTAGAAAATTTTGTATGTATTATTATTTCATTTTGACGTTTTCTTACAGCAATAATAGTTTTTTTTATTATAATATTTAATAAATATTTAGAATTTACTGAAAACCATTTAACCGCCCTTCGTATATGCCGGAATGATGAACGATAGCCTACAGTGCTGTTTTGCTAAAAATGACGAAATATAAATTGAAATATAAAATATAAATTTAATATTCTTATATTATAGGTTTTGTAAGTGTTTAATTTGAGGATTAATTTGTAATAAAACCCTACTTTGACTACATACATTTCATTGTTTCTTCCACGTTTGCCTTAGATCGAACGACGATGGTACATGTGTTATTATATTCCAGAGGAACTTTTGACAGGAAGATCGTAAATCATAAGTTCATGTCTACCAACATAGGTAGTTGCCAGTTTCATCCCACACGGCAGAATGCCCAACGATATAATGATTTCGCAGAATATTTTTAGCGCCAAAATTTAAGCCTTTGGGAATTGTCGACTCTAATTTTGGCATGATGCCGTCATGGGTTATGATGTTCTAAAATAATATTTGGCGTCGTTTTGCTCTGGATGTACGCGTCGGTTAACGCCTTAAAATCGATATTCGAAATTTGGCCTCTCTGAGTACTTGAACAATGATTTTTGGCAATCGAAGATTATTTCTTAATCTCATTTACACAAATGCATTCCTTGTATTTTGTGCAAGCTTCTCACTCTCTCTCCCTTATCCTGACTCACTCACTTTCTCTATCACTCACTCTCAGTGAGTGTACTATTAAAATATCGTTTTTGCTTATTAACAAATCTAAATGTGAAATTTGTTCTTCGTTCAGTATATGTGAATTTTTAATATCATATCATGTCTATTTATCTGTCTGTTTTTCACACACACACACACACACACACACACACACACATATATATATATATATATATATATATATATATATGTGTGTGTGTATATATATATATATATATATATATATATATATATATATATATATATATATGTTTAGCTTATATATATGCGTGTATCTATATATATATATATATATATATATATATATATATATATATATATATATATGCGTGGGGGGTGTAGGTGTGGGCGTGTTTGTAATAAACAATAAAATCCAAAATTGCCTCATATGGGAATAGCCTATTTCGGCAAACGTAGATATCGGTCGTATGTCTTATCAATCCCGGTGTGGCTTAATTCATGTCTATAGAGTTAGGGTTGGTAAGGCGGAAAAATGAATTTAACTTTGAAATCAAAAAGTTTCAGTCCGATGAAAGGCACGAAACATGGATTAGGTGAGGGTGGGAGGCATTTGTCTTAAAGGAAAGATGTTTTACAAAATTAAACCCGATTATTAACCTTGTGACATTAATTCGTAGTAATATAAAGAATAAAATTAAAAGAGGAATAAAAAGGGTTTTATATATATATATATATATATATATATATATATATATATATATATATATATATATATTTATGTTAAATATTCAGCCCGGTAATAATTTATTTCGTGAATATCTATATAACTCTTCAGACCGAAAACTTTTAGTAAATGGAGACAATACGCCGGATTTGCATATTTGATTGACAGGTGGAAGGGAAAGCAAGAGACAAGAGAAGAGAGAAGGAGAAGAAGAAAAGTGACGGATAGTCAGGTTTTTCTTAATAATGTCTGTGGGCCTAAATATTTTTTTTTTGGGGGGGCACCTAAGAGTTGATAAACCGCATTGAGCAGCTCTAAGCGGAAAAGTCAATGCAAACTAATCGGCAAAAGAAAGATCTAAGATGAAAATTTATAAGTAGAGATTATCCAACTTATTAACATGTGCATAAGAGGCACTGACAAGTCATTTTAATTGATAATCACTCGTTTTCATGCACTAAAATCGCGGTGAATTTTTTTTGCTGAAAAAAGGGAAGGCTATGATTTGAAAGGAAAAAACGAGAGATTGTCAAGTGGTTGGAAATTTCTAAAAAAATGTCCAAACCAATCAAAAAATGTTTGCTACTACTGGAAGTATTTTAAGGGTAAATAAAACTAGAAGAACACAAATATCTGACAAGAAGGAATAATGTTTGCGAGAATTTCGATGGGCCACCGTCCTGTGCATGAATATAAACTACATGCGGAACAAAAGCCTCTAATCGGCAGGTTTTCAGGATCGTGGAATAACCACTTAATTGCTGTTGTTCCAAGGTTCACCGTGACTGGGGATGGTAGAACCTGTTAGCGTGACACTATTTAGCACTTGTAAATGATAAGAAGGCTGATGAATAGCACGATGGATATACCGATGCCCAGACGAAGAAAATTTGAAGAAAGGGATAATTGTTTTTAATCGAGAAAAAAAAACTAGAAGGCTGAAAAACACTAAATTCTGATAGTGTGAAAGATATACCGATGACCAGACAAAGGGAAATGAATGGTAGAGGTATTTATTCATTGTAAGAGAAAATAGAAGAAGGCATTTAAATTTCTCGACCGTCAGAGAGGTAAAACAAAGAGACAATCTGGTTCCGATTAAGTAACGAGTTATCCCGGAATAGCATCGACCACCCGTAAAGAAATAGATAATATTTTTACGACCATTGTGAGCGAAGGGGAGGTACAGACCCAAGTTTGGCCGATAGATGAGTATTGACTTTTAGAAGCAGTCACGTTTCCAGCATAAGATAGATAAAAGAATGATAATTATATTTTTCGTCTGCCGAAACGCGATAAAACTTCCCAAAATCAAGGGATTGTTTCCCGTTTTACCACTTTTTGACCGAAAGGGTTGGTGATGGGATAAAAGAAAATGATAGATTTCAGATGTGGAAACGTCCACACAAAAAAGCACGATGAGAAAGAATTTTGAACGATAAAATTTCTCCGTTGGTTTAGAACTTAGGGGACGAGTTTGTTCAGGTGACCAAGGAAGAAAAGGTACAGGTGTAATTCTAAAGGAGTCGAAAGACTTTCAACGACCCTCGGGCAGTGATTCTGAGAGACACTTACATTAAACAGGAAGAAAACGTGTTTGATCAGGTGAGCAAAAGAGGGAGAAGGCCCAAGTAGAATTCCAAGGTGGTGGGGGGGTTCCACATATTTGGACATTTTCAGAGAGAGCTCTGATTGGATTTTTGGGAACGCTGGCATACCCAGAGCGCCTCACTCCCCATGTACGTGGGTCGATAAAAACAGAACGCCGAGACACTACGGCAGAGAGAGAGAGAGAGAGAGAGTTTGTTCCAGCCACCGGTCGAGAGACACCGCGCGTGACTGCCTGCGGAAAGGAACCACCGACATCAGCCTTGTGCCAAACATCACCAAGTCCACAATTACCACTTAAGAAGTGGGTTGTGTCGATAAACATCCGCATGTGAACTGACAGAATTTTTTTAATTTTTATTTTTGACAAAAACCTAACCAACTTTTGTACGAAGGACCATACATAAATATAATATTTATTTTTTTATTTTTATTTTCTTCTTGCGTCTTCATCCCATTTTGGACAAGACCAATACGAAGATACCTGACGACGATTTCATCCTAGACGACCTTATGATCAAAGCAAATTACAACGTGGGATAAGGCAAGGCCGGGATCAAAGTGATCTACTTATTGAACATTGGATACATGAACAAACATGGAGAGACTTGAGGGCGACATTAGGATCCTACATATGAGTGAATAATCAACTCCAAACTGTAGACAAAACACTATGAAAAGTATAATAGATGTTTACAGTAAAAATACCAGCAATACATTTTTCGAAAAAAAAATATCAACAAACATTTTGGCAAAAAATACTAGCAATACATTTTTAAAAAATATTACATCAATACATTTGCCTCTCTATAAAACTCTTTACAAAATACGTCAATGAAACCTGATGTACAAACCGATTTCTTACAAAGAATACATTCTATTCATACGAACCTATCCTAAAAACATTGTTGGCATTAAATAACCCGTTGATTTTGATATGACGTTAAACAAAATAAACCAAACCTCGATTGGATATCCACACAAATGAGGAGATAATACATTTTCAACAGTAAATTTCCAATTGATACAATACGTGGAATATTAGGAAATAACATATTGAACATCATCCAATATTCAACCATTGACACAAAATATCAGAATAGAAGATTCAATTAATCGAAAGATCATCTAACGTGGGATGATGGGAAGCGTTGTATCAAAAGCGATGTTAGAAGAAGATTGAAGATTGATAGAAACCTAAACAGCGAAAATCACATCCGTTTTAGTATGATCTAATCTATTAGCAAACGAAGAAATCAGAGAAAATTTGCGCTATGTAGCTGCTCCTTAACATACATCACATGTGACAAAATGGTTTCTCGTTGATGAAGATGTTCAACTTTTGGAAGACTGGCCATTACAAAGTTCTGATTACCAAAAGTAATTAATTTGTCAGGTATCTTATACTTTTTAGATCGGATATTTCATTGTTCATAAAGCATGCTTACCCCATTTTGATCCGCAAACCAAGAAATTCTAAATATAGTTTCTGTATATTCCAGTGTGTATCAGTGATTAAATATTTGTTTTTTTTTTATCCAGTTAGTTCAATTAGTTGTTTAATACTGCAAAGATTTAACTGCAATATCGATCGCTATATATCCGTCTTCCTGATTACTCGTTTCTATTCCTCCCATTATTAATGTGTCTATTCCTAATTATTTTATCTTCATGGCTTTATTGCCTTACCTGGAGTGAAACCGATTAAAAAGGCATATTCGATAGACAGTTCACAGAAAGGTTTAGAACAGAAAGACTTCGTATTGATTGTAGTAACTTTCAATATATAACTATAGGAACATGTTAATCTAGGCGTTGTAATGGGATTGGTTAGGCTAATACTAATTAGCATAACCATACCACTATATATTAGGCAGAACTCGAGATAGACAAGAAGCGAGACAGTCACTTGTGACGACTACTACTGAAATTTGGTATATAACATAACATGTGTATACGGGTGTCGTCACTATGATTTGTTTTGTAGTGATAGTTGTAAACATAGATAACGCAATTTTTTGTGTAACCTTGATTTATTTCAACATCAATATTGAAGCAATTCTACCGCCTAAATATTAAGTTTTCGCTTTTATTTTCATGTGCTGCGACCTAATTTTGGTCGCCATCCTTTTCTAAAAAAAGTGGTCTTCAAGAAAGTTTTGTCAATGTCACTTAAAATTGTCGCAACGATCACTGATAGGAAATTTATATATCTTTAGCTTTTGCTTTGACAGGAATATTTTTTTCTTTTACTTCAAATGCCATAAAAAGTCAATGATGTAAAACCGGTAATAAATATAAAAAAAAATATATCTGGAACACAGAGATGTAGCCGGAAGTTGCTTTCAGTCGATACCTTTTTCGGTTTATCTTGGTTTATACATTAAAACCTTAGATTTTCTAACACTGGAAAACAGCGGATAGTAATCTTTGGAAATATTTCTCTAAGCAGATTCTGAGATCGATATTAAAAAAAAGCTATACTCAATATATGCATACAATTTCAAATGTTCAGTTTATTCAACCACAACTGTAAATAGTATTATTGACGAATGCAAATATTGCTTTAGAAATATATTTTCTTTCAATTCAAATCCAGATGATTTCAATAATATTCAACTGATGATGATATACCTCTGAATCGGCTACGAGCTTCTGTTATTTACCTGAAAGCGGAAAATATCACACACTCTCTAACGTAGAAAAACACATAAAGATACACACAACGAAGCACTAAGACACACACACACAAACGCGCTCGCGCGTACGCACACGCACACACAAGCAAACAGAGACACACACACAGAGGGTTTTTCGGTGATTTTTTTCAATAGAAAACAAAGTGAAAATCTAAAAAAAAAATCAATTCATTTGAGAAATAGAAAATGTGCATACAGGTTATAATGACCAAAAGACAAAGAAGCCATCCTCCGCATACATTACGGCCTCAACCCGACTCCGAACTTGACTTACAGGTAGTACGGTTGGTTTCTCAACCACGCCCCATATATTGATAATCCCTGCATATACAATCAGAGGAGTTAGAGGGTCAGATGCTGGGTCTAGTGAAGTCGTAAAGATTATCTGACAGCCACTTCCGACCATTCCTGGAAGTGGACAGGGACCTGAATCTCGCTACCTCACATATGGTCTTCCAGTAACTACGTTCTCTAAACAAGGCTTGACCACGGTTGTTCAGCAAATACACATAGCCATCTGAATTGAGTCTGAGAGCTTAATTGAAGATGTGAGGTGGTATGACATTAACCTAACTGGAGACACACCCAAAAACTCTCACAGTTTAAGGAAATTTGATCTCCTTGACACAAGGAAATTAATAAGGATTGTAGGCAAGTTATGCAGCTAGACTTGAACATAATGTTTTTTTAATCAAAGAAGAAGCACATTATTCAAAAGGATGTTTCACTTTGTTCGAGAGTTTCTTTGCTTTTGTCATACGGTTTTCTCGAGCTTTTTCTGAAAGACATTGAACATTACACCTCTTTTATGACTGGTAGCGGAGGTCCTCATCCAAGGTCAGATTCATGGTGGAAATTGCAACACTCATTTCCCGCGCCAAAGCCCGCATTCCTTTGCCTGGGTCTTCTAATACTTTAACTTGAGGTTGTTGGGGGAATTCTGGTGTACAAAGGCAATCAGAACGTCTGCTGTGTTGATTCCTACAAAGAACGGCCTCGTAGTATCCGTTGCAGCTATCCATTTCACGCCTTACTCTTTTCACGTTGTTCAAAGCGCATTTAGCAGCTGTCATATTTACGGCATTTCGATGCCCTGCACGAATTATCATTATGTAGAATAAGCCTTTCTAAAATTCCGGTGGCTTCAACTCGTCTGTGTCATTTAACTTTGACACCTTTAAAACTCGCCTCTATTTTGCTGGCATTGGCCCAGGAAATTACAGGATCAATTTTCTGAAATTTAATGGAATCATATAAAATTACTTCCATTTTATTGATATAGTCATGATTATTCAGAATATCCTCTCACGTTCCTGCCAGTATAAGGTTGGGTAGCTCGAGTCTCACTTCTAGAATAACTAAGTGCATGAGTCGGCCATTGGCTAACACGTGCTTGACAACCCAGACTGTGCCAAAAATATGTGAATAATTATTTCACAGTTTTGTTCATCATTTCCGCATGCTTGAAGCGGTCGACATTAAGTTACATCAACCGACTCTGTAGAAAGAGAAAGAGCATTTCATTCGTTCCCTCACACTTTTAGGGGTGTTGCGAGTATGTTTTTTCCATTTTATGCTCACTTGGAACATTTTTATTATTTATTCGTAAACTCTTTTACCAATAAATATATTTTAATCGTGTTTCATAATATTACCTACTCCGCCCTTATTTCCGGTATGTGAATTTTGCATATCTGTTTTTTCGTAATTAATTTTGCAAATTTATTCCTTCTGGCGAAGTATTGTCTGAAAGGATTCCACAATGTAAATTGCCCTCATGTATCTTCAAGATGTTATATATATATATATATATATATATATATATATATATATATATATATATATATATTCTTCACCCAGTAAAAGGACAAATGTCCACAAAATATAGGGAGTTAAAGAATGATTTGGTCGCATTGACCTAAGAGAAGAAGGTAAGACGATTATGAAGACAGTAGGGAAGATGTTGGTTGACTATAGGCATGAAAACACAGCATCTGCTCGGAATTTGGTTCCAAAAAGTAGTGGTTGGAATAGAATGCAAGAGAAATTCTTTCTTGCCAATGCAAATCGAAGACAATGAGGATGATTTCTTCCATGTGTACATCGCATGCTGGGTCTTAGCTGTCAATGTCTGCAATGGGGCAACTAATGAATACTTCTGCTCATAATATTTTCCATAGAAAAATCGATAGTGTAACAGGAAATGTTCAACGGCTTCCAGCATGCACAATGACTTGTAGGGCGTAAAATAATTAATCACCCCCAAAATGCTATTGAACAAAGTCAAGCCTGGAAAGTTTGGATTGGCGCTTCCAGTAATACTAATTTGTTTTCTTCTGATCCGTCTCTTGTAAAGATAGGGGAGGATATTTTGCGACATTCTGAAGCGGTAAAAATAATTAAACATTTTACTTGTAGGTTTAGCCATGGACCGTGTTTTTATATATATATATATATATATATATATATATATATATATATATATATATATATATATATATGTGTGTGTGTGTGTGTGTGTGTGTGTTCCATTTTG